AAACACCCCCCCCCCCCCCCATCATTGGGATGAATAATTTAGAGTAAAATTCATACCCAATGCAAGTGGATAAAAGACCCCATTCATGATGTCAATAATTCTGTCCTTTTACATAACAATATTATTAAAAATACATAGAAAACAATTAAATAATGAAACAATGAAACTAAATTGAACAAAATAAATCTGAAATTGGTCACACTGAACTATTTTAGTACTAAACAAGAACCAAATTACATTCTCACTCCGGAAGAAGCATTAAATGGAAGACTGCAATGATTTTTAAATAATTCAGTGATAGATTTTTTTTTATTCTGGTGCGGAACTTTATCATCAACAGTTAGGATACTACTAATAATAATGTTTAAAGTAATCAGTCTTTTTAGTTTGGATCAACTGTAATTAATTCAAGTCCATCATTTATTCACCGAATCAAGAGTAACACTTTTCCCCATATTCCCTTTAAGAAATGCCTAACAAATACAGAACTCACAATACTCACCTCTCCAAATCCACCTTTGCCTAGTACTCGGTAATGCCTAAACGTGTGCTTGGTTACTGGTTGCCTAATTGACAAAAAGGAACAATTAATCTCTAATTTCCTGTTACATTATTTGTATTTTCTTTCAGAATCCTGTTTGTCTCTATCTATTCCCTCCTATCACGTAACTGGCACCCAACTGATTGGTAAATTAGAACAGAACCGAGTGCCATATAAACGGTGTGCTTCTGCTCATGGACCCTGGATCCCTCTTATGGCCAGAAGGGCGTTCTCTGAAGCAGAACCAAAGGTTTGTGATCTTTTTAATTGGTGCAATTCACAGTTTAAGAATGGATTTCCAAGTATTTCAGCATAAGATTTTCTAAAGAGTACACAGCACTGATTCAGCTTTGCTCCCAATGAAGCTAACAAGATGTTAGCGTTATATGCCAGGGGATTTTGTGTTTCAGAGGAAGGTGTTTGGTCTACTGGTCTGCCCAAGTTTCTAAGTTCTCCTCCTGGCCCTGCCATTAACTCAGCTCAAACCAAGTTTTTCAATGTTAAATTCATATCTAGACACCTGGAAGCTTAAATGAGTTGGCCTCATTTCTAAAACTGTTGAAAGAGCTATCAACTAACACTGACTCTGATGGAACTGAATGGTGATAGCACTTAAAAATAATCAGGCTATTTATTTAATTGCTTAAATATAGACATTCAGAAACCTAACAAAACAAAAACATGGGAGCTTATTTTTAATCTTGATTCCTACAATTAGGCAAGCCACTTGAATTGCACTGCGGTTAACATTACTGTAAAACTGGCTAAACTCAAAAAGCCTGATTAATGTAATTGTCAGTGATGTGGTAGTACCAAGAAATCCCAATTAGGATCAGGACCCTATATATGCTAGAAAGTATACACGCGTTCAGAAAAGATTTTTAAGTTTTCAGTAGTTAAATGTAAAGTGAGATCATGAGATAGATATTTTAAGTATTAATACCACATGATCCCAAGCCCCACTAGGGCCCACTTGCCTGTACCATCTACCCAATCTCTCTCATTTTTCAGACTGTAAGCTTCTCAGGCATGGACTGTCATTTACTAAGTTTTGTAAAAAGGCTTAGTACAACAGGACTCCTGTTTGCTTTCTGACACTGCTGCAATATATAAATGTTAACTATAACAACTTACCTTTCTAACCATTTCCATTGTAAAAACCGTGAGAAATGCGTGCTTTCTTGATAAGCCTCAAATGGTCTTCCACTTAAATAATCATGAATAACTCTGAAATAATAATTTATAATAGTTTATCTTAATAGACTGCCTAGAGAGACTGGTCAGGCAGGAGAAGCTAAACAATCTCTTATAAGTCCATTTAAAAATAGGCAAAGGTGCATCGTCATCATTGTATTCCACAGTGGCTTTACGAAGATTTTACTGTTTGCACCCATGGCAAACACAGCGAAGTCTAAATCACTCCAAGGACACGCCAAGGAACTAATGAAAAAGTGGAGCTATACCATTGGTCAACCATCTGTGACCAAACATGGTGTGGAGACACAAGAAGACAATGCCCATGTTTGCCTCAGACAAGAGATAAGTTTGCAGAATGGCACTGAGAAATATACTTGATGATGCACTAATGAGTACGGAAGCAAGAGCTCCTGGTTATTTCAAACAGGAAAGGAATATGTTCTCTAAATACCCAAAAATTATTTTCAAACTGAACCATCAGAACAGCTGATTTTAAAGGGTTAGGGGTAAGGGTCAGGGGAAAGATGAGATTTTGCTCCTAAAATAATTTAGGGTATGGAAGCAAGGGTGAAGGATCTCTCCTCCATTCCTGCCTTCCAGTTTGTGGACAAAAGGTCAGAGTACCAAGTGTGGAGACACAAATACAAGCTGCTCAGAAGTGCTTCTAAGTTCTTCAAGGCACGTCTGATAAAAACAGGATGCTACTGTCTGCTGACTTTTCACAAATAGACTGCATTGAATGACAACAACTATTTTAGAGCTTCTGGTCATCAACTGCATGTTAAAGGGCTACATTTCAGCTAGATCAAAGGCTTCTTGTAAATCAGAACCTGAAATTATTGACGTGCCCCTGTTCTTCTTCTATTTTCTACCTATATGTTTTTTTTTCCCCCCAGAAGTCCTTCACCTATAAAACTTGCCTAAAAATAGCAACATAAAATTACCCTGGCTGCATTATCCAACCTCTACCCACAGTTCCTTTTAGAAGCATCATTTCACAATTTAATGGAAAACTCCCCACCCACTCTTAAAATCTCTGTGTGTTCAATGTAATGAGTTCTCAGATCCAGCACAGTAAATGACTTATGCATTAGCTATTATTTTACAACTTGCAGCATCATTATGGTTTCAAACCATCACATTTCAAAGCAACATCTTTCTTGCAAAGTTATAACTCTAAAATATATTATTCTCTGATTTTAATTATGTTCTTCAGTTGTCAGAAATATATTACCAAGGCCAGTAAGTTTCCAGTTGCAGGCTACTAAGAAAAACTGAACACAAAGTATTTTGTCACTTGAGATGGTTTGGCACAATTTACTTTTTTTCAGTATATCTATAGCACTAACTTTTAATAATTTAAATAAGGTTTAGGGCAAAAATATTCTTAAAAGTTAGTTCAAGAAGTCTCAAGGAAGACTTGTCTTTAGAATTTGATAGTACTCAATAAAAATGACTTTTCCCAAAAATCTTTTTTCAGCACAAGCAAGTTAGACAACGGGTTTTGCAGGATATACTGCTTATTTTTGCTAGATCATTAATTCAAACATGTATAAGAAGCCTTGAAACATAAGTCTCATTACTGAGAAAGCAAAACTCAAAAAGCAGTAGATGCAGAATTGTACACTTCGTTTACAGAAGGCATGAAGCTGTGCCCACAAAAAAAAAAAAAAAAGATGCCCCGTTTGACAAAATCTCTATTATTTATACAGAACAAACAGGACCTCAGTTTTTAAGACGTCATCTGAAAGACCAATCCAAAGTTACGTTGCACAGCATACAAGCTACCTGCATCAAAAGAATACAGGACTCTACAATTTCAGGGATATGAACATGGACTGTTAAAAAAATAAATCCATAAGTAATAGCCAGAAATCTGCAACATTCCCATCAGACTAAGCACCACAGTATACAGGGAAAAATAGAACAGCCCCATCCTTCCTGTGGAGCTCAAGAACTTTACTGTAAGCAGGGAAGAGAATGGCCTACATGACAGGTCATCCATTTTACTTAAAACTTCTTATTACGGTGTACTTCACGTCTGTTTTGATCTTTTATTCTTAGATTATTGTGCAGCATAGTGTTTTAAATTTCCAGAGAGATGACCCAAGCTGCAACAAACGTGTTTCATGCAGACATGATCAAGCATGCCTTGAAGAACCAGTAATATTAGAAATATAAAGGCTCTACAAGAGTTGAAACATTTGTAACTATGTATCAGCTCTTCAAAGTCTTTGTTCCTGGAGATGTTTGAACTGCAAATTAAACAAAACTGAGCTTGCCATTCAATATTAAGATTAACTAATGTGACCAATCCTTTAAAACTAGATTTTTAGCTACAATGATTCAACATCACTGTTGGCCACAGTTTCATGATTTCTAAATAGGCATTATCTGTGAAGGTTTCCCTGTGTCTTCACAAGGTTATTTTTGTGATTTTTACATTTACTTTTCTGAAAGGGAAAAATCCACTACAAGTCTAGAGGCAAACAACAATTATATCCATAACAAAATAAGCTGGTATGATGCAACTGTTACACATCCCCAATTCTGTAGCAATACAAATGTGGCAAAGCAAATGCACTGCATCTTTATATCTATTTCATTCAAGTGAACCAGTGTACACAGTTGATGCCAGGGGATAGCTCCTTTTGAAGTGGGTGGCCTTTTAAAACAGAGGGGGGCAATTATTTCGGCCAGAGGGCCACTTACCAAGTTTTGGTGAGCTGGTGAGGACGCGCAAATAAAATCTTTTAGATTTCATTTTAACAAATTATAGATAACAAAAATCATATACTAAAAAAAAGCAAAAATCAAACATCTACTATATTTTAATTTTATTTAAAAAAAATAACTTTTGTCCCAATTTATGTTTTTCTGAGTAGTGTATATAGAGGCAATTGCAT